CGGGAGACTCCGGTGTCCGATCAACAAGCCAGCAAATGGAGCTGGGGAGGCAGAGCGCTGGGCTCGCGCGCACGAAGCCCTGGGTTCGAGTCCGCAGCACCCCAGACACAAAAGCCGCAAGGGGCGCCGTGGCTCAAGGGGGCGAGCGCCCGCCTGCGGCCAAAGCAGCCCAGGGACGGCGCCCGGGCCCCGAGTTCGAGGCCCGGGACTGGCACAAAAATAGGAAAACACCGAGTAAAGCCACAGCCAAATATCAGCATCAAATATGCGCAAACTTTGCAAGTCAAAGCCGAGGGCCAGAGAGGACTCGGTCCCCACTCTCCCGGCTGTTTCTTTTTCTTGTCCCAGGCGCGGGCCTTGAACTCAGGGCCTGGGCGCTGTCCCTCAGCTCTTCAGCTCTAGGCTAGCGCTCTACCACTTGAGCCACAGCGCCACTTCCGGTTTTCTGGTGGTTCATGGGAGATCAGAGTCTCCCAGACTTTCCTGCCAGGCTGGCTTTGAACCCAGATCCTCAGATCTCAGCCTCCCGAGTAACTGGGATGACAGGCGGGGGCACCAGCGCCCGGCCCCCCTGGGATCTTTAACACAGGGCTCAGTGTCTCCGGGTTTCAGGCTGCAGTTCTCAGGTCTATGAAGTTTAGCCCTCAGACATCCTTCCAGGCCTGTCTGGAAGGCCCCGCCCGCATCATGGGCCTGTACACACAAGTACCCGGCCCGTGGCTCCCAGCCAGCAACACGCCCAGTCCACAGGGCTGTGAGTAGCACCTCATTCCTAAGGAGGCCAGAGCAGGCAGACACCTGCCGCCATCCCTCCGCTCCTGCACAGGACGGAAAACGCAAGAGAGCCCCACACTGGCATCCCAGCTCCTCAGGAGGCTGAGATCCGGAGGATCGAGGTTCAGAGCCAGCCTGAGGCTGACCAATCTGACCAGCACTATGTGGTCCAATTAACTAGTACAAAAGCCAGGAGCGGAGCTGTAGCTCAAGTGGAAGAGCGCCAACCTTGAGCCAAAGCAAAAGACCACGGGAGACAGTGAGGCCCTGAGTTCAAGTCCCAATAGTGGCACAAAAATAAAACAGGAACTAGGCAGCAGTGGCTCCTGCCTGTCATCCCAGCTACTCAGGAGGCTGAGAGCTGAGGATCGTGGTTCAAGGCCAGCCCGGGCAGGAAAAACTCTGTGAGCCTCTGATCTCCCATGAACCACCAAAAAACCGGAAGTGGCGCTGTGGTTCAAATGGTAGAGCACCCACCTTGAGCAAAAGAGCTCAGGGACAGCGCCCAGGCCCTGAGTTCAAGCCCCAGGATAGAACAAAAAATAAAATATCAATATAAATAGCATCCTCAAGTGCTCATCCTGATCTCCACCCTCCTCCCCCTCCTCCTCCTCTTTGCCCTACCTAGAACTTCCAAGGAGTGGTTACCCCCTCCCCCACCCACCCCTCCCTCCCCCTCCTCCACCATGGAAATTATGCAAAGCCAAAGGGCCGCTTCGCCATTCCAGAAACCCACATATCTTCTAGACTTTTCTGCGTCAGAGCACCCCAGCCTCTGAGCCACAGCGGCGTGTTTTTAAATACCCTTTGACCTGTTAGTCCTGCAGCTGGAGGGAATCTCCTGGCTCAGAAGGAGAAGACACTCAGGAGGCTGAGATCTGAGGATCGTGGCTCGAGGCCAGTCCGGGCAGAAAAGTCCGTGAGACTCTGATCTCCAATGAACTGCCGGGAAAAGCTGGTAGTGGAGCTGTGGTTCGAGTGGTAGAGCGCCACCACGGAGACTGGGGCCGCCCCCGGCCCCTTCGCTGGGATGGCAGGAATCTGCTCCCCACGCAGCCTCCTGCGGCACAGGATGGTCTCCCAGACTTTTCTACCCGTTCTAACCGAGAACCACAATCCCCCCGTGTGAGCAGGCCCCGCACGCTGTGCATTGGTAAAGGGGGCTCTCTCCCACTTTCCTGTCTAGATTGGCCTCAAAACACGATCCTCCGCTTCTAGCCTCCCACCTTTTCTGCCTGGACTGGCCTCACACCAGGATCCTCCCCACAGATAGAATTACACTGTCAGCTCTTGCTAAAGAACCTAGGAAAATACTTTGTTTTCTTTTTCTTGTGTCAGTCCTGGGGCTTGAACTCGGAGCCTGGGCGCCGCTGCCCCTGAGGGGTTTTTTTCTCAAGGCTGGCGCTCTACCACTTGAGCCACGGCTCCGCCTTCCAGCATTCTCCTGGGTTATTGGAGATGAAAGCGTCCCATGGATTTTCCTGCCCAGTGATCCTCCCGTCTCAGCCTCCCGAGGTGGCTGGGATGGCAGGCGTGGGCACCGGCGCCCGGCTCACCTCCCCGCCGGGGCTCCCCTCGGATCCCCCTCATGCTGAACTCACTGGAAGTGTCCTTAAGCCTCCCACGCTACCAGATGAAGTGGCATCATGCCTCAGTTTCCCCCTTCTCTGTCTGGGGAGGAGGGGGTCCCTGGCGGAGTCCTGACACAGCAAAAGTCAGGGGCTCAGTTCCAGAGTTAAATACTGAAGCTTGATCGCTTTTTTCCCCCCTCGCTTGGCTTTGTATGAAATGCCAAAGCTGCCGGGCTCTGTGGCTCCTGCCTGCCATCCCAGCCACTCAGGAGGCCGAGATCTGAGGATCGCAGTTCAAAGCCAGCCCAGGGCAGGAAAGTCTGTGAGACTCTGATCTCCCATGAACCACCAGAAAACCAGAAGTGGCGCTGTGGCTCAAGTGGTAGAGCGCCAGCCTTGAGCTGAAGAGCTGGGGGACAGCGCCCAGGCCCAGAGTTCAAGACCCATGACCGACACAACAAAGATAAGAAAAAAGCCCAGGCGTGGGGTGGAAGTCCCAGTCCATGCGGCCCGCAGGGAGCCTCCAGGCAGCCCCAGCCCCGCAGGGCGGTTCAGTTCCCCAGCGGAGACCTGGCTGGGAGTTCACCTGAGCCTGGAGCGGGGGAGAGAGAGTGAGCACGCGGCTCCCAGAGGCTCTCCCCCGGGAAGCCATTAGGAAAGCTGCCCGAAATCCCAGCTCCTCCGGAGGCTGAGACCCTGAGGATCGTGGTTCGAGGCCAGCCCGGGCAGGAAAGGCCCTGAGACTCTGATCTCCAAGGAACCACCAGAAAACCGGACGTGGCGCTGTGGCTCAAGTGGTAGAGCGCCAGCCTGGAGCTGAAGAGCTGAGGGACAGCGCCCAGGCCCTGAGTTCAAGACCAACCACACACACACACACACACACACACACACACACACACGCCCCGGGGCTCGAGCCCGGCCTCATTCACCCCCCAAGTGTCTTCCAGGCGCCCCTGGCCCCGCTGCCGCCCCAGCCGCTCAGGAGGCTGAGCTCTGAGGACCGCGGTTCGAGGCCAGCCCGGGCAGGAAAGGCCCTGAGACTCTGATCTCCCAGGAAACCACTAGAAAACCGGCTCGAGGGGCGCAGCGCCCGCCCGGAGCGCCAAAGTGTCCCAGGCAGCGTCCGGGCCGCGAGTTCAAGTCCTGCCCGCACCCGTGTGCGCACGCGCGCGCGCCA